ATTTTTAAATAAAGAGAAAAAACATACAGGAAAATCTTTGGAATCTAGGGCTAAACAAACAGTTCTTAAATTTGACATTAAAAAAGGAAAACTGCATAAGTTGGACTTCATCAAAATTAAAAACTTTTGTTTTGCAAAGATTCTGTTAAGAGGATGCACAAATTACAGACTGGGAGAAAATATCCACAAACCATATATCTGACAAAGGACTTATATCTAGAATATGCAAAGAACTCTCAAAACAAGAGTATAAAAATACAATTAGAAAATGGGCAAAAGACATTTCATCAAAGAGCACATATAAATGGCAAATAAACACATGAAAAAAATGTTCAACATCATTAGGGAAATGGAAATTAAAATCCAATGAATATTACTATACAACTATAAGAATGGCTAAAAATACTGATATATCAAATGCTACCGAGGATGCAGACAAACTGGATTACTCAAACATCGCTGGTGGAAATGTAAAACGGTACAGCTACTCTGGAAAACAGTTTGGCAGTTTCTATAAAACTGAAAATGCACTTACCATATGACTCAGCAATCACATTCCTGAACATTATCATAGAGCAATGAAAACTTGTTAACACAAAAATCTGCACATGAATGTTCATAGCAATGTTATTTGTAATAAAGGCTTGACTGGCTGGATATCTCAGATGGCTTCTTTACTCATGCCTGGTGCCTCGGCTAGGATGGCAGGAAGAGTTATAGGCTGGCTGAGCATCTTGCTCTCCATAGGCTAGCTGGGGCTTCCTGACAGTATGACAATCTCAGGGTAGTTGTACTACAAACATGAAAGCTAGCTTTTCCCAGAGCAAGCATTCCAAGAAACAGGAAGTAGAAACTGCCAGCTTCTTAAGTCCTGGGTTTGGAACTGGCATAGTGTCACTTCTGCCATGTTCTACTGACCAAAGCTGTCACAGAGCCCACCCAGATTCAAGGGGAGAAAACACAGACCTGATCTCTCAGGGAATGAGGGTCAAAGAATCTGTGGTCATTTTTTAAACAACTTTATAAAGGCAGAATTGACATACAATAAACTGTACATACTTAAAGTGTACAATTATATGTTTTGACATATGTATATTGCCATGAAACCATCACTACAGCGATACAGTGAACACATCTGTCATCCCCAAATGTTTCTTCACGCCCATGTGTAAGCCCTCCTCCTCTCCAATCCCACCACCCACCCAGCCACTAGAGATCTACTTTCTATCACTGTCGATTAGCTTGCATTTTCCAGAGTTTTATATAAATGGGATCGTACAGTATGCCGTCTTTCTTGAGCACGGCTTCTTTCATTTAGCATAATTTATCCACACTGTGGCGCATATAAATCTTCATTCCATTTATTTGCCAAGCAGTATTCCATTATAAAGATACACCACAATTTGTTGATCTATTCACCTGTTTCTAACTGAGATGCCCCCCTCCTCCCTTTGCTTGCCATATTATACTGGCTAGAAGCTTTATGCTGCTGAATAGAGATGATGAGTACATATCCTTGTCTTGTTTCTGATCTTAGGGGAAAGAATTCAGTCTTTCATCATTAAGTATGATGTTAGCTGTAGATTTTTTATAGATGCCCTTTATCAGGTTGAGAATGTTCCCTTCTATTCCTGGTCTGATGAGAGCTTTTATCAGGAAGAGATGCTGGATACTGTCAAATGCTTTTTCTCTGTCTATTGAGACAACCACAAAGTTTTTCTTTTTAGTTAATATGGTGAATTACATTGATTGATTTTGTACTGTTAAACCAACAGTGCACTCCTGGGATAAACCCATTTGTTCGTGATGTATTATTCTTTTTATATATCATGGCCATTTTTAACATACAAGCGTGAGAGAGAGAAAAGCACAGTTATTTTTATTTATTTGATAGAAAACTTTCAAGAGGTACCCATTTGCTCAGTCCACATTTTCAGTTTTTGAAAAAACCTCTTTTTACTACCTTATATACTTGGTAACTTTCACAGATTCATATGGTTTCAATAAAGATCAGAAAATCTTTGTTATATGGATACCTTCTCAGTGGAAATACAATATAACTGGAGCAGTACGCTGTCTGACTACTGTTAACCAGATCCCAGGCTTTGCTTTTTAGATTTGTGGGAATTTCAAAGAACCTCTAACAGCTCTGTAGCTGCTGCTCAGCAACATGTCCAGTTCTGCTCTGTGAAGATGTATTTAAAATACAGGATACAGAGAAGCTTCTAGTCACCTATTGTTATCTTCTTTAAGCATTTAAATATTTTCCTGATGATTTTGTTAATTTTCTTATAGCAAACCCTAATTTTCTATCCTTTGTAACTTGATTCTTAATAGTAACTCTTATGAGCTGTTGGTTTGATTTCCTCATTTGTATTTCCATATCCAGGAAAAATTCAGAGGCTTCAGAATAGCGTTTCTTAAGAGCTGTTCCAGTGTATTTTTTTTCTATGCTGACTGGGGACCCAGCTTGCAGTTCTGGCTCTCAGCTCCCTTCACTTATGGATTGCACTCACTTTCCTGCCTTTGAAATCTAGATCAAGAGCTTACTTTACACACATACAGGAAACAGAAGAGAACAGACGCTCTTGAATCAATGAGCTGAGATTCTGCTGTATTTTTCACTTTTTCTTTTTCTTTCTTTCTGTGGGGGAGGTTTATCTTTGTGTGCTTTGCCCCTCAGACTTGGTTCATCCTTCCTGTGTCGGTGCTCATTTGTTTCTTAGACCTCTGGCCTCAGCTGTACCAAGATGAAATGCAGGCTCCTACCTTTATTTCTTCTACATCTTCAGTTTATATCAGACACTGACATGAGCTTGGCTCTGCCCTGTCCAAGCTTCTGGTTCTATCGGCCTGATCCTAAATGACCCTAGGTCTTGGTGTGATAATATTCCTTCAGAGACCAAGAATAATCTTCTTTCTTTTCTGTATTTAAAATTATTGTGATTTTACTTGTTAGCTGTATGTGGATATTTTTTAGTTTCAGTAAACTCTTCAACACTCAAAACCAAAGTTATACGCACTGCCTATTATGGGCTCTTGCTATTCCATCAAATAGTATAAAAATTCAAGGAGAGTTATAATAATTAAAGGTCTAAGCAAATGTCATACAAGTAAGATATTATGAAAGTGACTTAATGCCAGAGATAACAAAATAATTCTTTTTTTCTGGAAGAAGGAAATCAATTAGGAAAATGAAAAATGGTTGATTGGAAGAATCTTTTGTGCTGTATTTAGAGTCACTTCATAAAAAGGTATAAGAGTTTCAGTTTGGGAAGATGAGAAAGTTCTGGAGATGGATGGTGATAATGGTTGCACGATGTGAATGTACTTAATGCCTCTGAACTGTACACTTAAAAAATGGTTAAACTGGTAAATTTTATGAGTATTTTACCACCTAAAAAGGAATGCTAAATTACACTTTTTAAGATTTATATTAAAACATACTTCATTTTAAGCTAAGTGACACTCTCACTTCTTCAGACAGTCATGTTAATAAACATTCTTCAGAACTCAGGTTGTTTTCTAAATTGTTTAACAAATTGCTTGAGCTTCTCTGACTACAGGGTCTGCTGGAGAAAGGCACAAAAAGTGCTTTAAAAAAAAGAAAAATGTATTCGTTAGCCAGTGATATTGGGTCTTCTTGTGTACAAAATTATCATCCAAAACACGCTTTCAAGTTTTCCTGATTTTGAAAAATGGAGTCTCAATTGATGCCTCCAAATCTGGAGATTTCAATGACAAATGGCTCCACAAAATTGAAATCTTGAGAGCAAGGATGTTTTAGTAACTGTGCAATTGCCAGAACCAGGCAGTAGGTGGCATTTTTGTAGGCACTCAGGGCTTTTGGAATAAAAGATCTTGTGCTTAGGAATGTAGGAAAAAACAAATGGAAATTAGCACTGTCTATTATAAACAACTGGGATATGATAAGTAAAACTGTCAAGACAGGGTTTTAATGCAGTGATAGGAGACTCAGGATATTTTGGAAATTCCTATCTTGAATCTTACACGTGTGCATAAATCTGAAGCTACCTCTCTGATTTTCTCTCCTTTCCAGGCTACACCCACTATCAGATGTCCAAGTTAATTTTAGTTTGGCATCTTATCTAAAATGATCCTCCAAAATGTGTGGTAATAATAATAGTACCCAAACCTACTGATTGACTCTACCACCACAAAGAGAGAAGTCAGGGTTTGAAGTCTGAAAGTGGGAGTCATCAGCGAACAGGAATATTTCAAGTCATGAGTCTGGAGGAAAATAAAAATAGGCATCAATGTTTAGAGGTATCGAGGAATAGTATGGTTTGGCATAGTTCTCAAAGAAAGAATATCCTATTTTCTCTACTTTCACCAGGCTTCACTTTGCCAAAACTGATCTATCCTATTCTTCAATAACTACACGTAATTACCACATTTCCTCAATTCTAACTTGTGCTTTTAATTATTACTATTATTAATTTTGTAAACAGTTTAAAATCTCCCTCCCCCTCCTTTTCTTTCCCTCCCCCTACCCCAGAAAAACAGCTATTAAATCGACGGCCCATTTTACGATTGAGAAAGTAAAGACACTAACTACAAGTGATTTTTGCCTGTAGAGTAAAAGCTTCCAGCTCTACAGCCTAAAACTTTTCTCGCAAAGCGCTTTTTCAGGTAGTATCCTACAAGTTGTGGGAGTAACAGGAGCTGAGGGCTGACCCCTCTTTCTTTTTTTGTTTTCCCTTCAGAATAGGGCTTAGGCACGAGGAGCTTCTAGCGGCTTGTCTGAAGTCAGCAGCGCGATCACAAACAAGCCAGAGTGAGGACTTCCTGCACCCAGTCTCAAGCTGGACTCTGACCCTGCCAAGCTTTGACACGTGTCCCCGTCAACCTGCCCCGTAGCAAAGGAGAGACCAGCACAGCGACCCCCTGTACAGCTTTCGGCCTCATCCTAAATCCCACAAGTCAGCGAACATAGCACATCCTTCCCCAGCCGCCTGCCTCTGACTCTGGTCGCTTACGGGTAGTTCGCATCCACTCGAGCAGTGCTGGGAGGTCTGCCGGGGCCACCGTACGGAGCAGCTGCAGGACCGCTCGCTTCGCTGAGCGGAATTCCATGCTGCGGCATAAAGCAGGGCCGGGGAAGGTTCGCATTGCGCACGCGCCGACAGGGACGAGCTGCGACGCGCGATCCGACCCTCGGTGGAACCCTCCTCCCTTGGCTTCGAAAGCCCCAAGCCCCGCCCCCTTTCTGGAGTTCCCACTTGCGCTCCGGAATCCCTACACTCAATCGCACCCCAGTCTCTCATCATTTCCCTCTTAGCTGGCAGTGCTCAGCTAAGCCACTTTTTCTTAAGGTGGGTCCTGGAGGCCAGACTTCTTTCTAAACCCTTTCGGTAAACGCACTGAAGCAACGCGGCGGGTGCCCCGGAAGCGGAAGTGTACCTTTATGAAAGGCTGGTCTACGCCGAGTGGTGACGTTTCCTCATTGGGCGGAAGGTTCGGTGGCAGTCGTCGGTCTTCCAGCTGGTGGGAGTTGGCGTCGCGGAGCTGGGCGCTGTGACCCTAGTTTATGTAGTCTGGAAAGTCGGGCTGTGGGGTTGTAGCTGTCTGTCTGATCCCCGCTTTCCTTGGTTTCCTCCCACGGCCTGGGGCCTCGCGAAGAAATCCCCGGCCCCTTTGGGCCACGGCGGTAGCGGTGCCTTTTTCGGTAAGTGTCTGCTTTTTCCTGCCCCAGGCTGCGGAGTGGCAGCTAGGGCAGCCCCAGCCCTGCTCAGGGGGCTAGAGACTTCGGAGCGAGTCGGCTTCCCTGGCCGTCGGCCGTGGTCACCGAGACCGAGATGCCCTGGCCCTTTTTCATCTCGTGCCCGCCATCAGAAGTTTTACTAAAAGATGCGCTGTGACCCTTTTAAGTTGTCTTCAGATTTACCCGAGCCAAATTAGATGTAGACAATTGCAGGCCTGACTTTTTGTTGTGCTCTCTGGATCAAGAATTTAGATGTGACTGCTTCCCAGAAAACCTTTTGACGTGTACCAGATTTAATTTTTCCGTATCCGTGGTGCTTAACACATTGTCCTGCATATAGTAGGCATTCAGTAAATGAATAAGGGATATCAGTTCAGGGCCAGTGATGACTTAAGATATATTGGTGCCCGTCTCTCTAGCATTTGACATTACTGACCAACCATTACTTGAAACTCTTTCCCCTATTGGCTTTCTTGATGTTATTCTTATCTAGTTCTTTCATATACTTAATCCAAAATATTTTCTCATTCTTAGTTATAGGGATACAGAAATGAATGACACAAACCCTGTCATTGAGGAGCTAACAGTACTGTGAGAGGCACATAAATATATATTGTATCAAAATAAGTAATGAGAAACTCTAGTAAGATATAAAGAGCCATGAGAGTTATGGGAACACAGATGAGAGTTAGTGTACTCTTTAGGAGATTTGCGACCCTGAGCAAGTTGCTGTTCAGTCTAGCCTCAGTTTCCTCATCTACCTGATAAGCTTATTATGAGGATGAAAGATTAGGTAACATGTTTGGCATCGTGTCTAGCATATAGCAGTGGTGGTGCCAAGGGGGAGGGGAAAGATTTGTCTCAAACCTTTTTCCCTTGATTTTTTGATGTGGTCAATTAGTATTTTCTAACTTAATCTAAAGTACTATGCAAAAGCATCTTCATGCCTTCCTTCAAATAGATTACTCTTCTAACGCCATCCATCTGGAAATTCTGGACCTACCACTGGAATATAGGAAGATAACCATAAATGGTAGATTTAAAAAAAAAATTGATCTTCTGTATGCCTTTGGAGAGGAAGGGGAATTAGTAAAAACTTCTATCCCATTGATTATTCTCAGTCTTAGTTGACTCTTTCTAGTTGACCCTTTGCTATCACTGTAATCCAAGTGGTCTCCCACAGGCTCTCCTTGAGAGTTCTTACCTACATCCATGGCTTCCATGGCATTATTCTCGTATGCCAAACATTTGCAAATCTTTTTCTTTAGCCTCTGTCCCATGAGTGGTAGAGTTCTTTAGTTTCTCTAGATTCAATAGGTCCAAAACCACATTCACTATCTCCTCCTTCCTTTTTTCTCCCTTTTTTCATTAGTACGTATATCATATGTACAAAAGTATATAAAAGCAGTAATTCCCAGTGTGTTTTCGAGTTTTAACCCCTTGTTTGACCCGTAGTTGAATTTTGTGATTTTTGTATGTTCAATTTAAAAGAGGATGATAAAATGAACACCTGTATACTCAATATCCAACTTAAGTAGTAGAATATCACAAATAACCTTTAAAGCCCCTTGAACCTTTTCTCTATTAACTCTTTAACTTTCAAACCAGCTTCTCTTTTTGCCTTCCATTCATTGGTTAATGTCATCACTAGCTATCTGGTTATTCAAATCAGAGACTTTGGAGTCATTTTTGCCTTCTGTTTCTGCTTCCTTCTCACCAGCCATTTGGTCATCAGGTCTTATAGATCCTGTTTTGTGGGTTAGCCCTTGACTCAAGCCCCTTCTCTTCATTTTGACTTCTGCTTCCCTAGTTCAAGCCTACATTTCTTGACTAGACTTTCGGAGTCTGATTAGTGTGTGTAGTCTCTTTGCTCTCAAATTTTTCCTTCCAATGAAAGAAATCTCCATCTCCAATGTATTTGCTACATAGTGTCTAATTTTTGAATTATAAAACAGAGTTTTCATTCTCTTGTTTCCTTTGAGGAGTATTGCTTCATGCAGTGATTGTTAACCCTGGCTGCTCATCAGTATAACCAGTGAAGTTTTTCAAAATATAGATGCCTTGTTTTGCTCTCCTAATCAAGAATTTCGATGAGGCCACTTCCCTGAAAACTTTTTGGTGTTACCATCCCTGGAGATTCTGATTATTTAATTTTTAGCTGATAGGCGTTATCTAACCAGCAAACCCCATTGTTTTTTTTTTTTTTTTGAGGAAGATTAGCCCTGAGCTAACTGCTGCCAGTTCTCCTCTTTTTGCCGAGGAAGACTGGCCCTGAGCTAACATCCGTGCCCATCTTCCTCTACTTTATATGTGGGATGCCTACCACAGCATGGTGTGCCAAGCAGTGCCATGTCCATACCCCGGATCTGAACCAGCAAACCACAGGCCGCTGAAGTGAAACATGTGAACTTAACCACTGTGCAACCGGGCTGGCCCTGTTTTTTAAATTTTTTTTGAATTTTATTTTTTTTTCCTTTTTCTCCCCAAAGCCCCCCGGTACATAGTTGTAAATTCTTCGTTGTGGGTCCTTCTAGTTGTGGCATGTGGGACGTTGCCTCAGCGTGGTTCGATGAGCAGTGCCATGTCCGTGCCCAGGATTCGAACCAACGAAACACTGGGCCGCCTGCAGCAGAGCTCTCCAACTGAACCACTCAGCCACGGGGCCAGCCCCAGGTGTTATCTAAATGTCATTGAAATAACCCATTGCTTGAGCATGTGCATTTTATCCCCCCTCCTCCATATTTTCCATCTATGTTCTTTTCAACTTCAAGGAAAACCATTTCCAAGGAATTCTTTTGACTTTGTTTTAATTTTCCTCTTTGTAAGAGTTTACATAAAGATTCTTTCTGTGATTGACCTGACAGCCAAAGAGTATCTTAATGAAATGATTCCTAGTGTTTTTGCGTTACTACCCCTTCTTGCTAATTGAATTTTTGATATCCTTTTCTGCTATTAAACTATGAAGTGTTGCAGTCGTTTTATTTTTAATACAAAAGTGAGTTTTAAAATTCGAAACTAATTATTTTAATGAAGAGAGAATTTCCTGATACTTCTTAACATAGTTAAATATAACCTTTGGTGAAAAATTAAGGCAGAGAAGTCCGTGATGATATGATGCATGATTTATCATCTGAACTTAATAGAGGAGTCTTGTCTGTGTTAAATTAATGTAAGTAATTGATTTGGAGTAGAACTTTTCTCGTGCTGGGACAGTTCCTTGGAGCACATAGGAGGTGTTTGATGAATGAATAGATGAATGCAAGGGTTGACCCTGCTCAACTCCTAGGATAATATCACTCTAATTCTCACAAGGAGAACTTTGAAAAATAGTTAATTTTCCCTTTGGCTTAAAAATAAAAATAATACTCTTAGTCATTACCAAGAATTTGGAAGTTACAAAAAGATATAAATAAGAAAATAAACATTACTAGTTATTCAGCATCCGGAGATGACAAATGTTATTTTCTAACAGTTTTACTGAGACAAAATTCACATACCATACAATTCACCTAGTGTACAATTCAGTGGTTTTCAGTGTATTTAGAGTTGTGCAACCATCACTACAATGAATTTTAGAACATTTTCCTCACTCCTTGAAGAAACCCTGTACCCGCTAACAGTCACTCCTCGTTTTCCCCCAACTCTGAAGCCTTAAGCAACTATTAATCCACTTTCTGCCTCTATAGATTTGCCCCTTCTGGACATTTCATATAAATGGAATCATATGATATGTGGTCTTTCATCACCAGTTTATTTCATTTAGCATAATGTTTTCAAGCTTCATCCAAGTTGCAGCATGTATCAGCACTTCGTTTCTTTTTGTTACCAAATAATGTTCCATTGTATGGATACACCACATTTTATGTATCCACTCATCAGCTGAGGAGTATTTGGATTGTCTCCACTTTTTGGCTGGTATGAATAAAGCTGCTAGTGGCCATTCATGTACAAATTTTTGTGTGGATGTGTGTCTTCCTTTCTGTTGGATGTACCTAGGAGTGGAATTGCTGGGTCATACAGTAACTTTATGTTTAACATTTTGAGTAACTGCCAAGCTGTTTTCCAAAGGGCTGCACCATTTTACATTGCCACCAGCAGTGCGTGAGGGTCCTGATTTCTCCACATTCTCACCAACCCTTGTTATTATCTGTCTTTTTGATTATACCCTTCCTAGTGTGTGTGAAGTAGTATCTGATTGTGCCTTTGATTTACATTTCCCTGGTGGCTAATGTCTGTTTTTTGAGATTTGTTTATAGACAAAACATGGATTATACAATATATGCAATTTGTATTCAAGCATATTTTTAGCATTAGCAAGCGTATTTACAAAAGAATTCTCTCATTTCTACTTCTCTTTTCACTCCCTCCCAAAACCATAGTTCTTGTGAAGACTTGCCTAAATTATATGCATAGGAAATAAAATCTATAGG